GTCCACACCTCCTGATCCAAAACCATGTGATCATTAACAGTGACAAAGGCAAAAAATGACATCAGATTATATGGAAGCATCATCTGTCTTTGAATTTATGGGAAGGACAAGCCAGCACCAAGCTAGTTCCTCTTTTTATGGCAAGGAACAACATGTTAGAACCTAAAGCACGGATATGGCGAGGTGCAACCTTTAGTAACCGCATGTTTACATTGATACATCTTTCCTGAACTGCTTATGGCTCTATGTTACATGTCTGAGGGGTTTCGGGGGCTCTTATAACTTCACCAGTAAGTTTTGCCACCTCGTTACAAGTGTGGCCCAAACAAATTGATCCATTAACTTACCTTCAGCGATCAGCTCTTCCACCGTCACTTGGTATCGACCGACAGCAAACACCTTTCCGATGTAGTTGCTGCTTCCAGTACCAGATCCAGACCCACCCCCGAGACTTCCGCTCTCTGACTTCGGCATACGCGAAAACTTCTTCATGCTTGCCTCTTGTGTTCCCGCCTTCCCCAAACGGACAGTTCCAAACACGCTAAAGACGCTTAAAAATCCAATCTGCTCATCTCCGCTCTTTTGTCCAGCATGCTGAGAGAACTGCTCTCCCGAGATGCGCCAGGCACTTCAGTGCTCGAGGGACGCAGAAAGGCGTAACGTTAGCTGAACGCTTCCTAATTTCCTCCAAAGCCCGATGAAGCAACTGCATAGAAGTAAACTGTCAGGGCAGCGTTCTGTCGTTAATGAGTGACAACAGCACGAGTGATACCGTCCACGCTGCTGTGTTTTCAGGCCGACTCCAGTTGCGGCGGAGAGACAATTCGCCTCGCTAGCTGGCTAACAACAACGGCAAAACGCTCTGTTCAGCCAAAGTATTCTTTTGTGTTCGGCGGAAAGTCCAAGTTGGCTGAAGTCCAGGCTATCTGAAACCAATGTGAACAACAAACAGGCAGAAAGTGGGTGTGTTATGCGGAAGCTACGCTAGCGAAACTCTTAAACGATGACTACTGCCACTTCCCCTTCGGATAGTTTAGTTAGCCAGCTCGCTAGCTGAATGGCTTCCTCTATCTGCTTGAACAGGTCACCGTGTATCATAATCAAATGTATCAGTACAAAAATAAGCCAGAAATCCTCCGAGCGGCCGTACGTTTCGGATGTTGCGCGAGCAGCGTCGGTTATAATATTTTTTAAATGGCAGAGCGCTTTCTCGTGCTCTGGAAGTCCCCTGTCACACTGATAAAGTTCGAACTCCCGTGACTCGCCGTAGAATTGGTGGGAGGTTTGTTATTGCCCAATCCGCCTGTCTGACAACCTAACTTTGTTTTGTCCGATTCCTTCCTATTGTCATGATTGGTGTGAGCGAGATGCGTCCTGTAGATACTCTTCTCTGATGGGATGAAACGGATGACTGTCTCTCTGCGTTTTGTTTAGCAGTTTGCTTGATAAAGATATTAACCAATGTGTTAGTCCGTTGAAAGCTGTGAATGAATTGTGTGAGTGTGAGGTGCTTAAGTGCAACTGGCACATTCTACGAATACGGTACACTTTTGTGTCCCATGGTTTTTTTAAGCACGGGAGGCACAAATCCAATGTTTTTGTTGTGAGAACTATTGGATAAACTATTGAACATAAAATTAACTTAACTTGAAAAGTAAAATGGGAATTAAATAGAGTAGGCCTAATAAACTAATTTTAATTAGCAATATTTATTACAATAACGTAACATTCTATTTATGCATGTATGCATGCATGCATGTGCTGTTCAAAGGATTCATTATGTGGACCCTTTGGTAGGGTTTAATGATTTTCTCAATTATTAAACAAATTGTGTGTTGACTTTATTAAGTTCAACCATACAACAAACATTTTCTACAAGCCGTCATTTGCTAGTCTCTACTTACGTTATTTAGTCTAAATTTTCAACCTTGTTACCATTCATATTTATTTAATACATGTCTGTTTGATTTGGATGGTTATTTAATAACAATCAAAAAAATAAAAATAACAGTCACACAGACCAGCGACCTCAACATTTAATCAAGCTTCAGGCCCTATTTTAAACCTATTCAAGATTTTTTGCATAGTAAATTGCCTACAGTTTATATTATATTCCCTGTTAAGAACAAAACAGTGAATTACGTATAATAATAAAAAATATTTGCCATCTAGCCTACTTGATATTGTCATCGTCTTCAACATATTTTTTTCAATACATTTGGGGGAAAAAACTGTTATAAGTTAGGATTTCCTTTTTTTATATACAATACCCTACATATGCTCTGCTCCGGGTGTGTGTTCACGGTGTGTGTGTGCACTTAGGATGGGATAAAAGCAGAGCACTAATTCCGAGTATGGGTCACCATACTTGGCCACATGTCACATCACTTTCATATATCTCCCAATAAATTTCAACCGTGACACTCATTATTAAATTTAATTTATGTGCAATCAGGACACTGATTCAGCACTTGATGACAGAGATGACATCAGATTGAGACAGTCACATGATGTTAACCAGTCTGGGTGGACAACACAAGACCCTCTGAGGCTCCTCAGGTACGTCAGTTATTCAGTTCATGAAAATGTCCTGCCCTATGGAACGATATTCCGGACAATTTTCAAAAGGAATTGCAAATTGTATTTTCAATTGCGTTTTCCATATGTGGACGCATAAATTGTGACATAATCCAAATGCAATTGCAAATCCTGCATTACCGTTTGCATTTTCGCTTTCGCGAACGCACAGTGACTGACAAATTTCAAATGAAAAAGCAAAGTCCATTTGCAACTGTATTTCCCATGTCTTAGAAGTTACGAACCTGTCATATTTAAATAGCAATATTAATTACCACGTCTGCTTTTTCACTCTCGCTGCGTCGCGCATGTAACCTGCCAAAACTCAAATGGAATCGCAATTCCTTTTGCATTTGAATTTCCGATGTCTACATGGAAAGCTGCCAATCATCGTCAGGGGCGGGACTATACTAGGGGGCGTGTTTGTATTGGGAGGTGACGTCACTCACAGACGACAGTGCCGAATGCTCTGATCAATGGAGGTAATCGGTAAAGGCTCCGCAAAAGGCAGCTACCAATCAGTTTCGTACCTGTGTGAACGAACAGACAGTGCAACCTTCTTGGCACAATACATAATTATGTCTTTTTTACCCCAAATGTAGCGATTATCCCCTGCTAACAGCGGGAGCCACAACGGTACGCACAATAGGTCAATATTCACTATTAACCAAACGCTTTCACCTGTCTCAGCATCTCTCACTGTTTACACTCACTTACACTTTTAATCCATAACAGCTCGTTAGAAGTGAGCTACGTGCATGAACTGGGTTCTGATCGATATGATCCCTACACAGAGTTCATTGCTCCCTACTCCCTGAGCAGGGGAAATCCGTTGAAGTTTACTTCACTTCGGAACATGGGCTGGAATTGGGACCACTGATGTAGCCTATTGTAGTAATGTTGTCTCTGGTCTGTGAGTGTAATTGCGTTCAGGGGGCGTGGCTTTGGACGGCGATTGCAGGAAGGGTGGGACGTTCGCTGTCAGCGCTATCAGGCTAAAGTTAGCATTTTCCAAGATTTCCTATTGTACCTTTAATATATGCAATTCAACATATAAAATGACTAACTTACACTCAGTTAATTGCATAACATGAGCAAGAAAATCATGACCTGTTTAAATTGTTATATCCAGAAAAAACATCAAGGGCTGTAAAACCAAATGTATATAATGCTTGTGCAAATGTGACAGCTATCTGATAATTGCTACAGATGTAGGTCGATGGAGAGACAGAGGACGAACTGGAGTCTGGGATTATTACATGGGATTAATGAGGATCTTCTGTTCCCTCAGGCTCTTTTCCACCTCAATACAAATCAACTCCCCTGACTGTGCAAAGTTTCATCAGCAGCAGCTCCCTGAGCAGATGACTTAACACTGTGCACACTGCAAGAACGCTCAGATATCTTGGTTATCTTTATCATAATGTGTGAAGTTTTGATTTTGGCTGTTGCATAACACTTTTGGGAGCTGTGATTTTGGTATAAATCGTTTAACTACATTATTTTGCCCAGACAACTTTTAAAAGCACTCTGCTGATCCATATAATATCGGAAGGACAAAATGACAAAATTAATGCAAAAATACATTTTTTGTTTGAACAAAAACTGAAATGCAGGAATATTCATAGTAATATTATTTAATATTAAATTAATATTCATGATTTACCAGAATTCCAACATTGCAATGTTCTAAAACATGTTGTATATTAGTTTTTTTACTCATTTGATTTATATCGCATATATTTTACTTATTTTGCCTTATGAGTAATTTAGACAAAAACAGGGGAAATGTTTTCAACAGCAATCATGAATCAATATGAATTTTACTCTGCCATTACCTGCAGTAAACCAGCTACATAAACTATTTTCTGAAAAAGCGTTAAAATATTACATATACACGTATTCATTTAACATATTGCAAAATAACCAAACAGGACATCTTTAGTAGCATTTCTGGGTTAGTCTTCTCCACAAATCATCTTCAAGCAATCACCGTAGATGTCAGACGCGTCAGACTGAAATAAAAATGAGCAGGGTCACTCATAATCATAAATCAAATACAAAACTCCTCATCAAAAATTAGTTTAATTTGCATGGAATATATTGACACATATGGTCACTGTCAGATATGAAGAATGGATTGTCAAATAATCATTTGTGAATGTTACGATATCTTGAGGGCATGATTAAACTAATAAACCTGAGGATCAGGAAGTGATGTACTATAGGCTTCTAGCACATTAAAGAACAATGGCAGATGGCCTGAACCTGTTCTAAAGTGCAGGGTGCGAACTACGGGGGAGCTAGGGGGAGCTCGACTCCCCTTAATAAGACATGGGCTCCCCTGAAAACGGGATTTGTGAAATTTTGGGGGGTCTCAAATGTATTTAATAAAAAAATATGTAGAGGTAAAAAAAAAAAATCTAATACCAAATGCTTATTGTGCATTTGATTTCATAATTGAAAAATTTACCAATGGCAACCAGCAGTTCCTCCAATTTTCCAGACATTTCCTTCTCAATGCTCTTTTGCAAAGTCTTGCCACTGATGTTTTTATATTCCAATATTGCTGTAATACAACATGTCAAGTTAAATTTAAAACACACCTGCCATTTCAGTTCCTATGCAAAATGCTTTTGCTTATTTAGATGATTATGTTGGGTACTTTGTCTCAGGTGAGGAATGCTCCTTTTACAGAGGATCTCGATGAACTTGGACTCATCAGTTCCCAGTCTCTTCTCGCCTGCATGATAGAGGGCCTATGGAGGAAACAGAGAACATGTAGGTGCTCATATCTAATCATAAATAACATCATCTTTAATACAGGTGAACTGGTTTCGGCTTGCGGTCTATGATGAAGGGCTTAATTAAAGAAATAAAAAAGACAAAATGGTGAAGTATTGAGATAAGGAGAAGCACAACATATGCATCCCAGTCGGGGGAAGGGATGAGGCGAGGACTCAAGATGCATGAAGAAATATGGCTCTTCATTAGTAGAAAAACAAAACAAAAACTACCCCAAGGGGGAAAAACAAGCAGACAAGGGCACAGCACGACCAAACAGGAAGCAACACAAGTACATACAACCTCCTTTACAGATCTTCTTTATGCACCAAGAGCTTGTAACACTTCAAAGAGAAAGGAAAACTTGAAATCGCATCATATGACCCCTTTAATCCTACTGAAAAAGAATCCTGAAAGCACAGGTTCAATTAAAAGTGATTATGTTCTATACCTTTGCATCCTCTCTAGCCTTGTCTGCATTCACATTGGTGCTTTCATCCCTCGCACCCTTACAATGAGAGACAAATAAAATATCATTAACTTCCAGAGCTGCCTTTATTACAATAAACTGCTATACATGAGTATTTAATCACCTCAGCAAGCAGAAGGATGGCTTTGCCAAAATCCCCTGAAACTTCTGTCTTTAGGTTCTGTATCAGCGTTTTCTTTGTTTCTATTGGGCAAAGGGAAGGGAAGCAATTCTACATTTTTGTAACTTTCATATTTTGTTACTACAATAGATTCCTCATCTCACTCTCAGCATATGCTGCAGACAGCTCCTTGATTTGTTTATTTGTCCGTGAGGCAAGTATTTCTATCAGGATGTTGATGTCCGTTCCAGCCCCCTGAAAAACATCCCATAAATGTATTAGGAAAACAATGAAAAATATGCATAAACAACAAGCAAAATATGTTCACATAGATATAGCTGAAATTTGTTTGAGATTATTGCAAAATGTTTCATTTTGTTCAAGATTTAAAATGAAAAATTAGGAAATGCACGTTACTTTCATTGCTTTGATTAGCCATTTAGCATCATTGAGTGCAGGCGATCTGGCGAGCGCAACAAGCAGCTTTTCAAAGTTGCCCCTGGTGTCGCCTTTCAAGTCATTTACTAGAATCTATGGTGAAGACAAAAAATTAGGCATATGATAATATAATTTTCCTCAAATGTGTTTGCGCAAGAGGACACAGATTTACCCTCTTTGTGGTTTCTTCATATGCCTTTGAAATAGCCTGTTTCTGACTGCTGCTCCTGTGAGTCAGTATGTCTATCAGTGTCTTCTCAGTTGTACCTGGTACAATATATATATATTCATGTATACACAAAGAATACACATATTGAATTATACATATAATACAGTACAGATAGATTATGTACCTATGCCTTCAATTGCTTTACGGAGAGCTGCAACATCTTCACTGACGTTGAAGTTAGATTTGGCTTTAATGGTTCCTCGCTCCCCTGGCTAAAGAAGATCAAGAAGATAAATCAATCAATATTACAAAAAATGTGTTAAAAGTTTGAGACAAGAATTCCCAGTCCAGTTGTATTAAATAAGAACCAATTATACACACACACACACATATATATATATATAGATATAGATATATATGTATACACACACACATACACACATTTGTTTGTTTACCGCTGATGTGAATGAAACAGGAACAGCATTCGCAACACTTTGCAAGTCTTCCTGCACCACAAGAAATTAAATAAATAATAAACGCTCTTCAAATTCATATTCTTTACTTAAATAACAGATATGACTGAATGTTCCTTTAAGATTTTACTTACCCACAGGTCTGCCATTTTTGATTAATTCTAGTGTGATAAACAATTCATATATTTACAGTTCAGAATCCATAAGGTACATTATTTTTCATATTCATTTTATTTTTATATACACAAAAAGGTAAACAGATTTCAAAGACTCAGCGATAGCCTAACAGAAAAATAAGCTTTGAAAAAAAAAAAAAAACTGTTTCGTGACTCCTGATTGACTGCAGCAGTCACATAACCGCCTTCTCAATTTCTAATATCTGCTTCGATTCTATATCAAAAGCAGATGCGAAGTTAATCGAACGAACTCGGCTTTGAAAGTGTTACCTACGTTTATATATAGGCTATATATAATACATTTTTATTCAGTTTGCACTTACCTTTGCGATATAAATCAACACTGAACGTGTCTCCCTGTCCGGTTTAACTTCTCCTCACTGCTTCCTCAGGGCGTTTGCGACACGATGTGTCATTTTCACAAAAGACAAGCATTCTTACGGAGCCTCTCCCTTCATGAACATCCAACGCGCTGCTATAATATACCATTTGATTCAGTAGGAAAATGACACTTTATTTTCTTAATGATCATTTAACCCCTGTCAAGGCGATATATCAGCTTTTATTATTATTCAACTATTTTTATGGATTTTACAACATTCTTCTTAACTCACATATTTCACACCAAAACATATAACTACAAACATATACACACCCCTAAAAAGGGGGGGGGGTCATTCCTAGCATTCTGTGCCATTTGAGTCACCATGATATAATGTGGTATATTTTCTGTAAAAATGGGCTAATACTTGTTTCTAAATGCTCATCTTACAACGTTACTGCCCCTCTACCATAGAACACAATAAATATGAACCCAAAATTAATTCATAAAAAAATTATTACTCATATCTTAGTGCAAGTAGGCTAAACTGCCATGTCCCCAAGTAAGCTTGCATAACTTCAGCCACAAATATAAGTAATAAAACTCAAACAAATTCCAAAATTTTCAATATTGTTGTATATTCTTATTTATAATATTCCTCAACACAATATCTTTTTTTGTTATTTATACATTTTTAATACTTAAAGTCTTTAAAACATGTTGTGTCCCTGAATTGAATGTCCCCCGTTACTCTGATGAAAAATCCCTCCGTACGGCCCTTGAATGTTTCTCTAATAACATGACTCTCAGGAAGTATAATACTTTTTGGGGGCAAACTATCTACAAGAAGCAGAGTAATTAACACTCCTTAATTCGCCCCTTTATTTAGTGTTTTAGAATGATTCACTGATGTGGTAAAGTATAATACGTCCACCCTGTTATGCTTATTTATAGAAGAAACTGGTAATTTTTTGTCATTTTGAAAATATGGTTAATAAACATGTTAAAAATCTTCCTCGATCACTACGCACTATCTTGTTGTTCATCACATGAATAGCAATGGCTGACTTTAGCAAAAAATGTCCCTTCTGTTACTGTCCACCCTGTTACTGTTTTGCACTGTAACTGGGTGGACATATTGTAACAGTCGATGTAAACATAGATAAATAAGTGTTTACAGCATGTATTGGTACTTATAATTATTTTACTATGCATTTAAAAGAAAGAGTTGTTTAAATGGTATGCATGTATTTGTCAGGAAATGGCACTGTTGTCTGCTGCAGAAAAGCAGCGATGCTACAGGGCTCATCGTGATGCAGACCCTGAAAGAAGGCAGATATACCTCAAAAAGAAGGACAGGTGGAGAAAGGGAATAAAGGAAGAAAGAAAAAAGAGTGTTAGAACTCAGCTTTGTTGATTAGGTAGAAACTGTAATTAAATTATCTTGATTTTGCCATTGTATTATGTGTGTGTGTGTGTGTCTGCGTGGTGTGTGTACTGGTATCCCTATGTTATGGGGTCCAAATGTCCCCACAAATATAGTGATACCAGTCAATTTTGACCTTGTGGGGACATTTATTTGGTCCCTATGAGGGAAAAAACTTATTTGTCATACAGAATGAAGTGTTTTGAAAATCTAAAATAACTGTAGTTTTGTGTGAGGGGTAGGTTTAGGTGTAGGGTTAGGGTAAAATACAGTTAGGATACAGTATAGAAAATACAGTTTGTACAGTAGAAAAACCATTACGCCTATGGCATGCCATGAACCCATAACGATAGGAATACCAGTTTGTGAGTGTCTGTGTGTGTTTGAGAGAGAGAGAGAGAGAGAGCAAAATAATGTTCTCTAAAAAATAATAATGCTCTCTATAATTTTAAATTGTAAAATACAATGCTAAACATATTTTGTAGCCTAATAAAGGGATAGTATAACAAATTAGATCTTATTATAATAGGTATAAGAACAGCTTACTTTAATGTGGTGTAATTGGACTTATATCCTATAAATTGTTATATACAGAACAATTTATCTGTTGTAGTGATTGTAAATTGTGACAATATGCTTCTTGTATTAGGCAATATATTGACAAATACTGTTGTTCAGTGGTGTGATGTCCACCCTGTTATGTCCTGTCCACCCTGTTTCCCCCCGTCCTCCCTGTTACCTCAGTGGAGTTTATATATATATATATATATATATATTAATAAAATAAGTTCAACAAATGTTATGCATATCTTTGTTGTTACTTGTAGGGAATGAAATGGTAAAATGAAATCATTTAAAATTTGGCCAAAATTCTATTGAAATTTCTTTTTATTTTAAAAGAAATGTGTTGAAATGACACTGTGTCTTAAAATACATCAACTTTTTTCAAGATAATGCCCGATTATGAACACTTTGTTAAAATACATTTGCAGGGTAAAGAGAGGGACATTTGAGCTCTTACAAAATGTAAATATTACAATTACTGTGCATTCAAGGCACTTATTAATTGAGATGAGAATGTCATTTAACAAGGTGGACATTTGGCCCTTGCATGTGTGAAGAATTTCATGAAAAATTATTAAAGAATAATATCCTGAGCTGGACCAATATATTTTTCTTTTAGTGTAACAAGCCCTTCTTCAGTTAAAATGATTACATCATGGAAATGTAAACATTTTTTGTGAGAAAGTTACCAAGCTGAAATGGCACCGAATAGTAAGAATGACCCAGCCCATGAGGATTCACTGTAAGATAAAAAGGGCTGCCAGACCCTTTAGAACATTCCGTACTATATTTAAGGTGCTCAAGTTTAAGATATGAAATCACCTCTACTACCCAGTGTTTGTGAGATGGTGGCCTCGCCTTTTTCCATCTAAGAAGAATCTAGCTAATAATGATTCAGGTCTGCTGGTTCCAAAACACATCTGGGGGAAGATGAGTCTGACACTGGATACATTTTAGTCAGCTTGCTCTTAGACAGATGAAGCCTAAGCACCTTCAACTGTAGAAATCCGTGTCTAATACATACAGAAGATGAGTGTACCAATTCTATTGCACACTCCCAGGCTGCATCTGATACCAGTTCCTCCCGCCATTGCCTCCTTATATGATCTAGAGATGGGGAGGCGGTTCTTTGAATAACCTCATATAGAATGGACACCATACCCCTTCGAAAAGGGTCCATATTTAACAACTCATCTTTCCAGCCCCCTTCAGGTTGGTTCAAGGAAGGAGAGAAGTGCTTTTTTATGAAGCTATGTAAGTACCTAAAAAATTAGACTGAGGGGTCTCAGTGTTCATTCTTAGCTATTGGAATGAAATAAATATGCCGTCTTTGAAAAGGTCCTTAACTAATTCCATTTCTATACCACAATTAAAATGCTGAATAAGGGAAAGAGGAAACAACAGATTCAACTGAATGGGGCCAGAAGGTAACGTTTGTTTACAATTAAACTGAAGTCTGATCTATTGAACAGATCCTTATATCTGCGTGTTACACTCACATAGACAGAGAAATTTATCAAAGCTTACTGAGAATGGAAAGGATTGGAAAGACATTTGTTGTGCTCTTTGATTGATAGGGAAAAGAAGACTCTTTGCTAAATCAATTTTGTATCCCAAAGCATTTCCAGAATCTGAAATAATTTTAAGGGCCTTTGGTATAGAGGAATCTGGATTAGACAGGAAGAGGAGGAGATCCTCCACATAAAGCAGAAGCTTATGCTCGTGTCCCTCCCTGAGTATACCGGGCAAGCCATCTGTATTCCTTAACAAGATTGCGAGAGGTTCGATGGCAATATCAAAAAACAGGGGGGACAGAGGGCAACCCTGCCTTTTCCACCTAGAGAGTGGAAAGCACTTAACAGATTATGTTATTTGTTAGAATGAATGCAGGGCCGAAGCCAAACCTTCTAAGTGTTGCGAGTAGATAAACATATTCAGTTATATCAAATGCCTTGTGAGCAACTAATGATATTAAGATCTCTGGATTAATTTTATTTTTGGGTGAATAGATAATGTTAAATAAGCGATGGAGATTGTAAGATAACTGCCTCCAAGCAATAAAACCAGTTTGATCCACCTTTCTCATGACCTGCTCAAGCCATATCAGCTTTTAATATATATATATCCAAATCACACTAAAATGACAGATAGTACTGTAACGCATATGCTAACATTCACGTGGTTTTAGGTTTTCTGGCAATTAATGAGACATTGCACACAAACTCAGATTAAATAATCATACATTAAATATGAACACAGTGTGTGCTCTACATGCTAGGAATATATTTATTCATTTATTTCTTTGTTAAAAGGTACAAATACAAGTATCTTGTTGATTATTTTATCATAAATGATAGCACCTGATATCAACCGACATTTGAAAAACTTCTGAAACTTTTGTAAAAATGGCTTGAGACTAATGGAAAAAACGGAAACCCATATGAAACAAAAAATACTTTTTCTTGATCAGTGTTAAAATAACAGATTCTTTGGCATTTCAATGGAGTCACCAAATTGACAGCAAATCTGTGGTGATACAGTTTCCAGATATGAAAACACTCTGCGGATGCGCACAATGAAGGACAAAAACACAAAAAATTAATTCCTTATGTAGAACAAAAGGATGGAATTCCACAAAATATGCATATTTTAGTTTCTAATTTTAACATGTATGATTCCTCAGCACAATTTTAATGTTTCATGTTTTCAAGTAACTATTAAAGTCATGCCTGCTGTTGCGAGGCGCCATTCACTACCAAAAAGTCTTAACAGTTTTGGTTTAGACAAAAACAAAAAGTACGTTTTAAATATCGTAAATCAGTATGAATCTCACTCTATACCTTTATCTGTAGCAAACTGTAAATATAAGTGATATATTTCCTAAGACACCTGGAAAAATGCTATTAATAAAACCATTTTATAAAGTATCCCAAGGGGTTCTTTTGTAAACAGGCTAGTCTTCTCCACAAATCATCTTCAAGCAGTCGCCGTAGCTGCCAGATACATCTGACTGAAATAAAGAACAGCCAGAAGTCATAGTCCTAATCACAGAGACAATCAGTTCACACTGTACCGCAACATCAGTTACAAGA